TTGTATTTATTTTTGTCTTTAAGTAGTTTAATTTAATGTAACAATACTACAATTTAATAATGTGAATAAATGAGTCTTAATAGAATGGGGACACTAACATTTACACATTGTGACTAATGACTAATGATCTTAATAATAGGCTACATTCATAACAGACCCTTTACATATTATATGTAGCAACCAAATATGGCTATATCTGTATCGTGAGATGTTTTACATTCTTCCTTCAATGAAGCTTTGACACAGACATTATTCAGAGGGGATTAAACAGCTCTGGTCATGTGACTATGTAAATGAGAATTTTTTACATGAACTTAAAACAGTCTAGATTTTGCTTATACATAACAATTCTGCATAAAATGCGTTTGGAAATATATTTAGACGTCTCCAACTCAAAAGTACATTTTGGTCACAAATGTTAACCAGTGGGAATACACGGGCTAGTGTGTGTGCAGTGACCCAAAGCGCCTCATTTGCCTGCTGCACTTAACACTTTTCTCCCTTGGGATCACGTGACGGTAGGTACAGCTTAAGCAAACATTTATTTATAAATCAAATGTAGGTACATCTAGAAAAAAAGAGTAGCGCATCTGTTTGCCAGTTTTATCCGAACACACATAACCGATATAGTTTAATGCGTTTTCAATAATATACGCACTAGTGCCATCTGCTGTTCATAACGGTGAGAGTAGCTGTTTGCCAGTTTTATCCGAAACACACATAACCGATATAGTTTAATGCGTTTTCAATAATATACGCACTAGTGCCATCTGCTGTTCATAACGGTGTATCGCATATTTGAACGTAAACGCTAATCCACAGGGAACCCGTGGACGAGGTGCTTCAGGTGCCGCCGTCGCTGCTGACCTGTGGCGGCTGTCAGCAGAGCATCGGGGACCGGTTCTTCCTCAAGGCCATAGAGCAGTACTGGCACGAGGACTGCCTGAGCTGTGACCTCTGCGGCTGCCGCTTAGGGGAGGTGGGCCGCAGGCTTTACTTCAAACTTGGCAGGAAGCTGTGCAGGAGAGACTACCTCAGGTACGACTGGCAGGCCTGAATAGAACTTTAATTCTTTATAAACCCTGTGAAGCCTGACATTTGTAATAATAGTCAGAATTGTATTGCAAAATGTATGAAGCTTTTACACAAAGTCTTAAAGTTAGCGTGTGTATCTTTATTTTTTTCTGTTTTGTGAAGTAGGCCTATCATATTCAATACATCAGGCTTTTATTTAAAAATAAAAAACCCTCAGTATCATTCAGAGATGCAAACTGAGCACAAATATGCAATTTGGTCCAGATGCTGATATTCTTATGGCCAAAAAGATTAAATTCTTTATAGCTTATCATGTAAATCAATGAGTTCTTTGTAGGAGTATAGCAGCCTGCTTACATTAAATGCATATAAATATCAGTTGTCACTCTATATCTCCCAATAATATTAGTGTTATGATCAGAGCTCTGTAGCTTTTATTTTGGCGGGCAAATATAATTTAATATAATGATTGAGAGATGTACAAAAACATTCCTCAGAAGCCTGATGTATCATAATTGATTTTTCTAAAACATAATGAATGGTTAATCAAGTAAACCTAAGTTGCTTTAATCCAGTAAGCGTTCAACTTGAAATATTATAACAATATAACATTATTCTTACGTTTACTTTATAAAATCCTGTAAAGATTTCACCGCAAAATGAGACATGTACAACAACCTGAGGGATGGCGATAATACCAGTCAGAGGCGTCATGTAGTAGACTGTGTAGAACCGGTTTTTCTGTCAAGTTTTGATAAAGATTTAGCGGTCTTAGAAATGTGCTTGTCAGATATGGTAAAATTGGCTTTATAGGGTTAAAGTTTATTATCGGCAAATCCTAATTTACGTAAATAAATAAACATGAATTGTATGCATATGCATGTATTTCCTCACGTTGAAGTGCATGCATATTTATGTTTCCTTCTCTGCAGACTGTTTGGTCAGGACGGGCTCTGCGCTTCCTGTGAAAAGAGAATCCGGGCCTTTGAAATGACCATGCGTGTCCGTGACAAAGTCTATCACCTCGAATGCTTCAAATGCGCTGCCTGTCAGAAACACTTCTGCGTTGGAGATCGCTACCTGCTCATCAATTCGGACATTGTGTGTGAGCAGGACATCTTTGAGTGGACCAAAATGAATGGCAGCATGGTATAGTGTTCTGCTAAAGTCATAAGGAAAACGTAACATCCTGTCAACATTTGCAACAAACCCTTTACTAAAAAAGAATAATGATCATTCTGGCTCCAGGAGCCATGCCATGGACATGTTATACATTTTCATCTCATATATTTGAGACAAATTGCCACCAGCAACATACACTTGTTTTTCTATTGGTGTATTTTTAATAACAGCGTAAATGCAGTTTGTAATGTATTGCAATAAAAGCAGATTCCCTTTGCTACTCTCACAGAAAGTTAGATTCAGACTATAGTGTTAATAGTTTTGAAGTAACACAATTGCCATAAAATGTGAAAACATATTTCTTAGAGCCTGAATAAAGAAAATTACTTGTACACTCTGTCCCCCCCCAAGCAAACAGATGTGATGCAGAATTGAGCTACTGATTCTTCCTCACAGAAGAGAGACTCGCTTACCAATAACAACATATTAAAAGACAGAAATAAATTACTTATAATAAATGCAGTAACACTTTAGATTTGTGAACACATATTCCCTATTAACTAAGAGTTTTCCCTCAGCAAACTTCTAGTTTGCTGCTTATTGATAGTTAGTAAGGTAGTTGTTGAGTTAAGGTAGGGTTAAGTGATATAAAATATGGTTATGCAGAATAATGCATTAATATGTGCCTAATAAGTACTATTAAACAGCCAATATACAATATGCATGCTAATAAGCAACTAGCTAATATTGAGAATTAGTGCTTAAAATAAAGTGTTACCATAAACGCTATTTAAATACACACAATAATATACAGTACTGTACAAAAGTTTGGGGTCATAAGATTTTCTTTTATGCATGTGAAAGAAGATTCTTATCTTTATTTGATTAAAAATGATAAAAGGCGTTTTCTATTTTAATATATTTTAAAATGACATTTATTTCTGTTGTGGCAAAGCTGAATTTTCAGCAGCCGTTACTCATGTCTTCAGTGTCACAGGATTTTTCAGAAATCATTCTAACGTGTCGACTTAGTGCTCAAGAAACATTTCTTAGTTTTTATTTTGTGATGCTTAATATCTTTGTGGAAACCATAATACTTTTTAAGGATTCTTTGATAAATAGAATGTCCAGTAGAACAGTATTTTTAAATAGTTTTTTTTATAATGATGTAAAAGTCTTTACAGTCATTTTTGAGCAACATAAATTACCTTATTAATTTCCTTAAAAATTCATACAGACCCAAACTTTTTAACCATAATCTATATCAAAATCAAACTAGGTGTAGAATGTTATTTAATGTAATTTTGGACATGCTTTGTGACTGATGTATTTTGTTTTTTCCTTCTGGCTGTACTTTAAATTATGCATTTAATAAATGCATGTATCCCAGCGTTATGCTATAAATTCCATGGATTGATTTAGTCATGTATGGTAATATTTTGACATCAATGTAGTTAATTAAACGTTTCCTCTAGGAAAAAGCTTAGGTTATGCACTTCACTTAAAGTAAACACCACTATCATATAGACACTAGTAGGCCTACAAAGTGAGAAATGAGAACATCTGCCAGATGCAATCTAATCACAGCCAGATTAAGGTCTGATGCTATAGAGAGAAAGTTCTCATTTACATCCAGTCCTGTAGCTCGAACAATTCAAAAGACTTGAAACATACAATGACAAATCCATCAACAACAAAAAAATCACATATAATGTCTGCCATATTGTCCTCTCTATACCTTTCTGGGGTTCACAGAGTTCAGGAGACCTGCGTGAGGGGGAAAGCCTTGTCATAGCAAAGGAACACATCTGAAAGCCACAGGTTCTAAACAGAGTTAGAATGCTATTGCGTGTTTTCCATCCCACTGCCCAGCTTTGAAGGAGTTCTGGTGTTGAGCTTTACCAGAAGCCAATGTTGAGACAGTTTTAACAGAGCAGAAGTGAATGCTGTCCTGCTTGGGTAGACTGACCCCATCCACTCGACACAGTTGCAGATATTTTTGTTAGTTGTACCACTTCTCCTGTGTGCCTCCACTCATTCATGAATAAGATTCAAAACGGGCCACCATGCCACCATGTCAGTGAAAAGCTCATCATTGGCATTGGTGTTCTCGCTATAAACAGAGGGGGGCACCAAATATCCAAACAAATGGGCATTAAAAATGCTTAAAATATCAATTATTTTGGTATCTGAATTGACTACAGATGACATAACCTTTGATATATCAATTGAAGATGTACACATTCAGTTTTTACTGAACATTTTTATTTTAGGGAAAGTTTGGATTTATACAGTAAATGTAGCTATTCATAAATGCCTTAAAACAAACTATTGTTTTCTGTTTTGCAAAAATAATTCTGGAGTTACTGTAAATCTGTGAGTTTTTCAAAAATGAGAAGTGGAAGAAAATTATTTAAGAATGTCAAGACATTTCAAGAATAAAAGACTTCCAAACATAAACTGTTGTTTTCTGTGATTATTCTTTAATCTTTGTTTTCGTTTTGTGTAGTTGTGCTTTGTTCTTTTGTCCTCCTCATTTTGTTTTTTGTATGGTCTTATTGTATTTGTTGCCTTTTTGTTTTCAGAAATAAAAAAGATGTTATGTATTTTTATATGTATTATTTTAGTGCTCTAAAATAATATTTTTATTTATTATATATGAAAATATATATTTATTATTTTACATACTTTAATTATTTCAACCTCTTTATGTAACCTGCAGTATTTTACATAAATATCTATATGGATATAGATTTATATTTAAAAGGTGTATATAAGCAGTAAATTTATATAAACAAATAAATATACAGTGGGTGTAGAAAAGAATCACCCCCTTTAAATTAATCACATTTTGTTGCTTTGCAGCCTGAAACAAGGAGGGACACAGGTTTTGGTTTATCCAGCTGTATTTACTCAGTGCAACTTATAACATCCAAGTAAAAGATATAACACCAACATGTCATATAAAATAAAGAAAGAAATAAAGAAACAGAATCACTGAGTTTGAAAAAGGAAAAAAATCAGTTGTAGCTAATCACCTTCTCAATGGCACACAAAGCCATGTGACTTTTAACTGTGATCAGCTGTGGTCAGTTTGATTAGCTCAGCATGAAAAGAGCTTTCCTGGAGCATTTCAGTCCTTGGTAGTGCAACTGAAGTAAACAATCAACTATGGGTGGCAAGGCACTGTCAAAAGATCTCCAGGATAAAGTTGTGGACAGGAACAAGTCAGGAGATGGATACAAAAAAATCAAAGGCTTTATCAATGCCTAGAAGCACAGTGAGGTCTATTATTAAGAAGTGAAAGGTATTTGGTACAACACAGACCCTCCCTGGATCTGGACGTCACTCTAAACTGGATGAAAGAGCCAGGAGGAAACTGCTCAGAGAGGCTACCAAGAGGTCTACAGCAACTCTGAAGCAGTTACAGGAATTTATGTCAAAGAGTGGTCATTGTGTGCATGTGACAACAATATCACAAATTCTTCACCAATCGGAGGGTTGCAAGAAAAAAAAACACTTCTCAAGAAAGGCCACATGCAGTCACGACTGAGCTTTGCCAAAACACATTTAGAAGATTCTGAGGCAGATTAGATTGAATTATTTGGCCTCAACACTAAATGAAATGTCTGGCAGAAATCCAATACAGCTCACCATCCAAATAACAACATTCCTACAGTAAAGCATGGAGGTGCTAATATCCTGTTATGGGGGTGTTTCACCACAAACAGTCACCATCAAATTTAACTGAATTTAAGCAGTTCTGCAAAGAAGAGTGGGCAAATATTGCAAAGTTAGTAGAGACACATCCCAACAGACTCAAGGCTGTAATTAAAGCAAAAGGTGATTCAATAAAATAGTGACACACACTCTTAAAAATAAAGGTGCTTCACAATGCCATAGAAGAACCTTTTTGTCTAATTGGTTCCATAAAGAACCTTTAACATCTGAAGAACCTTTCTGTTTCACAAAAGGTTCTTTGTGGTGAAATAAGGTTCTTCAGATTATAAAAAGGTAAGAAAGAGATGGTTCTTTAAAGAACCTTTGACTGAATGGTTTTTTGTGGAACCAAAAATGGTTCTTCTATGGCATCGCTTGAAGAACCTTTTGAAGCACCTTTATTTTTAAGAGTGCAAGGGGGTGATCCTTTTTCCAACTCGGTGATTCTGTTTTTTTATAAAAAAATTTCTGACACCTTGGTGATCTGTCTTTAACTTGGATGTTACAAGTTCCACTGAGTAAATACAGCTAGACAAAACAAAAGCTGTGTCCGTCTTCATTTCAGGCTGCAACTTGGTAACAAAATGTGATTAATTTAAAGGAGGGGGGGGGGGGGGGATTGATTCTATACCCATTGTATTTTTACTTTTTTATGTAAGGGGGG